TATGATATGATGTGTCAAGTTAATAAATAAAAGTAATCTGGCACTGTATTTCAGGCAATGCTCTGGGTATGATTGGCGTATCAGCAGGTATCGCAGCCACTCTGGGAATATTGCGACCATCACCAGAACTGTTGTTACAGATGGGCGGATGCATGGCGACAGGTGAGGGACTATAGAGGGAGCCACAGGGAGCCAGATTAACTGTGGTCATTTTTATAAAAAGCGTGGAATGTGGGATTATTTATTTAATTGTATTTTATTATTATTATTACTAATATTATTATTATTATTTTGAGAATCAGAAGTACATCACAGTTTTGTTATATGGTGTTTAAAATTTATATTTTTGAAGGCATGTTGTGATCACCAGTATCTGGGCTCATGGTAGACAAAACTACTAAGTGTTCACTGTACTCGGACGCATGAAGATCAAAATGGCAAAATGTACACAATATAAAATGTTGACCTTCCAAACTATTACTCATTCAATCCACTGTTGACCTCATTCCAGGAGGAACCATTGGTGCCATCGTTGCCAAGAGAATGGAGGTGACCGATCTCCCACAGATGGTCGCCTTGTTCCACAGTCTGGTGGGTATGGCCGCCGTTCTCACCTGTATTTCCAACTACATGACGGAGTTCACACACTTTGCTACCGACCCTGCCGCTGGCGCTATCAAGTCTGCTCTGTTTTTTGGCACCTGGATTGGTGGCATCACCTTCACTGGCTCTCTGGTGGCATTTGGCAAGCTGCAAGGTTGGTGTAGGCGTGGCAGGGTTTGTGTAGATGTAGCAAGGTTGTTTGAAACTGCTGAAAGAAGGTTTTGTAGTGATGATGTAAATGAAGGAATGAACTAGTGGAACAGTTTAGAGAAATCTATAGTGAAATCTTGACTCTGATTCAATGGTTTGTACATGGTAAGTACATTCTACATGGTTTCTCTACGTGGAGCGAAAGACAGTGCGTATAGGTTGATGACAAATACTGAACATAGTCCTTATTCTGGGGTCAAATTATTTCTGCAGTAGTTGAGTGTTGATGGCAAAGTAATAAAGGATCCAGCCAGCTTGCATTTGTCTGACCGAGAGGGAATTGTCATGGACTTGTGGTATAAATTCTAAATATATATGATAAATATGAAAATGTGTGAAATAGACTTGTAAGTTGATCTGTTGATGATAAGACTTTCTAAAGATAAAATCTAATTCTGTGTGTTTTCCTCTACTAGGTCTCCTGAAGTCCGACCCTCTGTTGCTACCCGGCAGACATCAGCTGAATCTTGGCCTGCTCCTGGCTAACGTGGCCGCAGCAGGGCCGTACATGATGAGTGCCTCGTACGGAGTGGGACTGGGCATGCTGGGAGCTACCACCGCGCTCTCCAGTATCATGGGCGTCACACTGACAGCTGCTATTGGAGGTACGTGCAGGCACACACACGCACATACGTGCACATACACACACACACACAGCAGTGCTTTTAATGCATGAATATTTCCTGAAGCTGCTTATTTTCTTACTGAAGTTTTAGTTATGTGTATAAAAGAATTATTACTCACACATTTAAAAACCACTTTTTTCGACTGTTTTTTCAAGATCTACAATTTAAAGTTACAAAGAAAACTCCTAACTTGAATCCAGCATGCTATATAGAATTATTTGATTATGTAGAGTGAACTATATGCATATATTTCAATTAAGAGACTAATTTGCGTGATTATTATCGTCCCTCAGGTGCTGACATGGCAGTGGTGATCACAGTGTTGTTAATATGTTTGTATTTAGAGACTAATTCCTGTATTAATTATCATTCCTCAGGTGCTGACATGCCAGTTGTGATCACAGTGTTGAACAGCTACTCTGGCTGGGCTCTCTGTGCCGAGGGCTTCATGTTGAACAACAACCTCATGACCATCGTAGGCGCTCTCATTGGTTCCTCTGGAGCTATCCTCTCCTATATCATGTGTGTGGTAAGTTCTGATTTGTCACAATTCCAAAAATTGCTTGTCTGGTAAGTTTTGATTGGTCAAATAAGCATGTAATTGCTTGTGTCATTTATTGTGATTGGTTTAAATGGCATATAAAATTAAGTGTGGTAAGTTATGATTGGTGGAAAAAAAGGTCCATGTGGCTTAAATGACAACTATTTCAACTATTTCTCATCATCCTAAAATTAAAAAAAAAAAAAAAAAAAAAAAAAAACTACCTGTCTCCATCCTGATATAAATATTGAAAACTATTTCTCGCCATCCTTAAATAAATATTGAAAACTATTTCTCGCTATCCTGAAATAAATATTTAAAATTATTTCTCTCCCTCAGGCCATGAACAGATCCCTGCCTAATGTGATCCTGGGAGGCTACGGCACGTCTTCCTACGCTGGCGGGAAAGCCAAGGAGGTAACGGGCACCCACACAGAGGTCAATGTCCAGGAGACCGTTGACCTGATCACCGAGGCGCAGAACATCATCATCACCCCCGGTTACGGTCTGTGTGTCGCCAAGGCTCAGTACCCCGTCGCTGAGATGATAGAACTGCTCAGGTCCAAGGGGAAGAATGTGAGGTTTGGAATTCACCCTGTGGCAGGTAGGCTGGAGACATATGAGCTCATATAGGCTAGGACTTGATTTATTTTAAGTTGAATACTGATATTTAAGTGAAGTTTGGTTATGATGGCTGTAAAAGTTTGATAATATTATGAAAAGGTTAAAAGCGTACATTTATAAAAAGTGTCACTGTGTGACAGACGCAAGCAACAGAGATGATTGCAATGTTGAACTAAAGTTTCTTATTTATTACTTGTCTCCCAGCCAAGCATCGGTTTCTATATAAAGTAAAGACGGCTGTAAAATAGTTAAGCAGTTATTTGATGTTAAAGAAATTCCTGACCAAGAGTGACCCCGTATTCTCTCACATTTCCTCAGGTCGTATGCCAGGCCAGCTGAACGTGTTGTTGGCAGAAGCCGGCGTAGACTATGACATCGTATTGGAGATGGACGAAATTAATGATGATTTCCCAGAGACTGACCTTGTGCTGGTGGTGGGTGCTAACGACACCGTCAACTCCGCGGCCGAGGAAGATCCCAACTCCATCATTGCTGGCATGCCTGTACTGAGAGTGTGGCAGTCGGGACAGGTATGTAGGCCACTGGGGGTGAGGGTGGGGGTGTGGAGGGGGGAGAGTGTGGCA